GTCAGAAGCTGCACCTTTTATTGCACAATAAAATAGAAGTTGGGGAGCAAATTAAAAAAAAATTACTATCCTGGGTTGGATGGTATTGAAGTTCAGGAGCCCAATGAAGCATCCATACCCACAGTGTCTGTAACCCATAATGGTGTAATAAAACACTGAATCATTTATTGGTATTGTACTCACTTCACCATAATTATTCTTTATCTTCAAGATACAGTATTGGTACAGCATTTATATTCATATGGTAGATTTAAGAGGTTACCTTAACCCTTAAAGGGTGGGTATATTTATATGTGCTGCAAATCGTGTAAGATAATGTTGTTTAAATACATGTAGAACGTACCCTAACTGAGATATTAAAATATTTTGCACCATTAGAAAGCTGAATCTTTTGCTAACAAATTCATATTAAGTCCACAAATACATGAAATAATAATTTCTTGGAGAAATCAAGAATTGAACTGGGAGTATAATGAACCCTCAAAGATTTGGACCCAGAAAATCTGGATTTCGGAAGATTCGGACAAAATTTGGTGGTCCCGGGAGCTAATAAGCCTCCCTAAGAAGCATTCCACAAAAACAGAGCAAAGATCATCCTAGGCCCATGTAACTAAGATGTCAGTGCATGGGACACAGGTACCCGAGGTGGGAAACATAAACAGAGTTGTCAATTGTTGTTTGTGGGAATATTATTTCATTCACTCTATTAATGATACAATGTTTCTTATTATGTTATTGTAGGTATATAAATACAGTAGTTTATATAATTTGTTTTCAAATTAGACTACAAGATATGTATTTCTCCCATACGTACTGTATTTCAATCATACCCCTAACGGGAGAGAGTGAGTGACCACAAGTTAGTGTGTCATCTGCTCTTGTAACTCTCCTCCCTCCCTGCCATATTTCACTGGATTTACTGTTATTATTAGTGTTTATTGATATAATAATGCTTTATAGTGATTAATCGCGGTTAGATTCGTCTCTGTAACCACCAGGCTACTGGGCCAAGCTATGAGGGGCTATGGTTGTTTTTCAACTCGCATTTTCGGTTAGATATTCGTAACTTTCTTCATTTTTTTTCTCAGTTACATGCACACACCTTCCTACATACATTTTGTGAAAAAAAAGTAAAAGAAATAAAAGAAATAATTGTCCTAAGGGTAAACAAGTAATGGGAGGAGAGTGCAAAGTGTAGGGGAATGGGGAGCGTTGCTAGGGAATCGGCATCCCAGTTGGTCTTCGTTACTATGGTGAAGCAGGGAGTGTATGCAAATGGCGACTGTGTTAGTCTTTCAATTGGCTTTTATTTACTGATTTGGCAGAACAGCATGCCCTTACAATTCACGGATTTTTAATTCACAACCTTCGATTATTCGAGGATGACACCCTGTATGTACTCAAGAATGTCTACGGGTAGTTTTAAAGTTGGCGGCTGGGCCATGTGCACTGACTCCGCCTCAGTCCATGTTAAACATATGTCCGTTTCATGCTTGTGCTACTCTGCTCTCCTTACAACTGTGCTCCTTGTGCTTGTGATGGCTCCCAAAGCCCTCAAGCATCTTCATCCAGCCGCAGGAAGGTGCCCAAACAAGTGAAGAGAGAAAAGAAGGTCTTGCATTTCTCCCATACAGATGCCTGGCTACTCCTGGCATTGTATGCCTGACAATGGGAGCGGGTAAGGGGAGTGAGTGACTGCTAGTTAGCACATCATCTGCAGTTGTAACTCTCCTCCCTCCCTGCCATATTTCACTGGATTTACTGTTATTATTAGTGTTTACTGATATAATAGTGTTTAATAATGATTAATCATGGCATTGTAGCCAGCTTTAACTCGCAACTGTTACCACCAGGCTACTGGGCCAAGCTGTGAGGTGTTATGGGTTTTCAACTCGTATTTCTTAATTTTTTACTCATTTACATGCACACACCAACCGAAATTCATACATATTGTGAAGAAAAAAAAAGTAAAAGAAATAATCGTCCTGAGGGCAAACACATAACAGGAGGAGAGTGCAGAGTGTAACTGGTTGGGTGCGTTGCTAGGGAATCGACGTCCCAGCTGATCTTCGTTACTTTGGTGGAGTAGGGAGTGTATGCAAATGGCGACTGTGCTAAACTTTCATTTAGCTTTTATGTACTGGTTTGGCAATAGTATTCTTTGTTGTAACTTATTTATTGGTAGTATTATTATTTATTCCTCACATTTCCTGGTATTATATACAGTATATTATTTTAAGAAAACTATGGCTGTGAGGTGTTATGGTTGTTTTTCAACTCGTATTTTTGGATAGATATACGTAACTTTCTTCATTTATTTTTACTCAGTTACATGCACAAACCAGCCTACATACATATTGTGAAAAAAGTACAATATTACACAGCAATTACCGACATCCTTCATGTTGGGTTGGCTAAATGGCTACAAAAGAAATTCTGTAAGTTTGATCTACTTATCAACCCAGCTGCTGCTCAGAAGCCATTCATTCTAGAGACAGTAATTGCTGTATGGCAACCCAACTTTAATAACAAAGCATGTCTTGAGGGGATTTTTTGTGCGTGTGTGTGTGAACTTGACAGGTCGCCAAGTTAGATGTCATCATAGCCACATCGCCTTACTTCTCCTGTGATATTGTTATTTTTCGACTCATAATTATGAGTAGATACTGTGCAAGTATTTTTATTTGTTTTCTTTTACTGTACTCTGTTACATGCGCACACACTTGTCATACAGAATGCCCCCCCACCCATCAAAAAAAAAAAAAAAGTGATTATCTTAAGTTCAAAAACAAAGATATTAAACATTTCTTATGTCCATGGTAGTTAGTGTGCAGCTTCAGTGTTGTGTGCACTTATTATCATGTTACAATTAAATAATGGGACTCAATGGGAAAATTGGTCCGGCGTAACGGAGATCTACATCACAAAAACATTTTCAAGGATAGATCCCTTCCGTAACCCGGAGGAAGCCAGTATTTATTACAGTAGTATAATTTTTATTTATTCCTAACATTTACTGGTACTACAGTATATGCACAAATGATGCAACCCTGGTGCCTAAGGTCCGTAATTGCCTTGGATAATGAGGAGTATCTATTGAAATATATGTGGTGAAAGTTGCTGGCTGAGAAAGCATCTCCCCTTATTCAAATTAATTCTTATGGGGGAAAATTGCCCCAATATTCACAATTTCGTTATTTTCAATGACTTTTAGGAATGCCTCCCTTGCGATAACTGGGGTATTCCTGGTACAGTATGCACGTGACACAGTACAGCCGGGCAGTCACCCAGCTGACCCAATGCCTTAATACATATGTTCACTTCCCCCACATACACACACATGCTCTTAATTTTTTTTTTTTTTTAGTTTTATAATTTCTTTATTTCTAAGCCACATTAGAGTATTGTAATGATTTCTTTTCTTCTCAAACAAGCACAGAGAAGCGATAAACATACTGAGATAAGGGAGAAGGATGGTTTGTTGATCCTTTATATAATGTACTTTAAACCTTTGTTATCAAACCACTATAAAACTATTTAAAATTCAGATACTGTACCATGTGGCAACAATGGTACATATTCTGTTACGAGTAATACTATTAGAAATGTCGTTTGACAATAAATTGACGATACGTATTTAGATAGCCAAGCAACTTATGAATTACACTGGTGTCAATATACATTACTGGACCCTCGATAAAGAATGATATTAGGTTCCTGAAACCTCAATTAGTTGTGAATCATTCTTTACTGAACTTCTTATGGGAAAGAGGGCTAGGGTCTGAACATCGCAAAGATTGACTTTTTTAACTATAGTACGTATGCCTATTTTCATCCACGATGGCGTCACAGCAGTAGAGTACTGCATTCACAAGAGTACTGTACTGTACATAACATAAAATATGGTAAGAAATGATTTATTGAGAATCGTGCATGTCGTATTCTCTTTACCACCGATCAACAACTAACCATCACCATCTCCCTACTGTACACCCATCTTATGATGTCAAACAACAAGCATGGAATTATTGTGATCCTAATACTACTCATAATAAAATCACTGGTACTGTACTTCCCAAGGTAAAACTACTTTGTTCAGCAGCACACCTCCATACATTATTTGTTACTTATGGCATTATAAATTTTATGATTTGACAGATAAGGATGGGTGTTTTATTCATATTTTATTTTGCGTTATTAACAAGGTTCTGAGTTATGAATAAATCAACTTATGAACAGGTCCTGAAATGTAACCCGTTCATTATTCAGGGGCCCCTGTACAGTATACAGATTCATCCAAGGCAAACACTTGGATGGATGCCAATATGCAGAAATTAAAAGCAATATAACATTTACGAGACAAAAACTTATCATATTTTCTACAAGATCTGGAGAAAAAATATAACTTAAGTGTACATCTATTATCTATACTGTAATTCAAAATTTATATTTCTTTAATATTGTATACCATCAGCTTCAACTACAAAGAAAATTATATAAAGTTAAATTTACCTGTACATGTGGTTTCTTCTCCAACACTTTCTATGAAGATATTTCATTCCATCCATCAATGGGTCCCAGCTTTCATAATGTGTGAGAAGTGAGACAGCAATAAAAGATGTCATCATGGGAAATGCACCAATATAAATTAGCAGTGAATACTTGATGCCCTTGAGCCAGATGTCCACAAACATTGTCAAGGGAATAGTTAAGCTCAAAGATAAAGTAGCCATCAATGATGAAGTAAGGAAGCATCCCCTGCAAAATAAAACACCTTCAATTCCCAAGTAATTCCAATGTAGGTCAAACAATTATAGAAGGTGTTAACTAAGAAGACAATTAAAAAAAAAAAGAATCTTTACTGCAAAATTTTTTTCTTGCATTATCAGCTAAGAGAGGAATGTATGATATTCTCTGAAACACTTCAATTCAGAAACAAATTCAGACTTTATTTCAAGAAATAAAGTATAAAGGTAAGCACCTATTTGGTACATCCTTTTTCTCTTTTATGATACAGTGGCTACAATCAAGAACATATACACACACACACTGTTCGTTTTTGTCACTCATCCTCTAAACCGCTAAGACACATGCATTGTGCGATATTGTCCCCTTCCACAACAATGCTCAAAGACATCCTTCTACATTTTCCCTGTCACTTTACACAATCTAGCATCCTCAAACCACAGAGTCCATTCTCAAAAAGTACTTGATGCCATACTGTCTAGTCAGGCTCAAGATGATTATAAACTAACCTAAGGTATCATATTGTTTCACACAGAGTAAGCACAGATACTTCTTTTAGCTACTGTACCTATAGTTTTTTATTTTCCTTTTTTATGATGGTTTTTCAATAATCATAATCTATGGTTTAAACATATGGGAGATAATGGCCGGAATCAACATTTCAAAGAGGTCATGGTCATCAGTGCCCAACCATAAAAATTCTGGACATATTAATCAAATTTCATAAATGAGATTGACAATGTCAATACTTTGTGATAAATGGTTTAATTGATAAAGCATTACTAACCAAAGCCAAAGAAGTTCAGACAGGACAGTTCCTACTAAGCCATTAACAGACATGTAGAACAGGTGTTGCAGATTTGGCAACTGAAATGTCTCCCATCCAAAAACATCCAACAGGGGGAACCCAGGCCACAGAATGATGGTATTGAAAAAGCCCACAAATCCTGGAGAAAAAAAAATATTAATAAGAAAACAAATTAAAAAGACCAATACATTCAACCTATCTATCTACAGTACCTACACCAACTGTGCCACAAATTTTGTTTTATTTCAAGAAGTTAAAATCATTGCACTTTAATAATTCACACCCGAACAACTGAAGGCAATAAATTTGTACAGAATAAAGCAAAATTATCTCTCCCTGAAAAATAAGAATCCTCTCTTTGTGTTAGTGTTGTGTTCTGACAGTTTAACGGTGTGAATTCCCATGAAGAAGTAAATACAATGCCTGCCAAGTAACTGAAGTATGGCATATGAATACGATGTGACAGTTAGAAATTCAATGACAACACAATTGTATTAGCTTATGACTACCTGGTAAATGTAATAGGAGAGTGGTTAAGTTATCATTTCATATTACTGTACAGCTATATTGCTAAAGTATTACCTTCAAGAACTATAAAAACATTGACCAGATCATGATGGATCAGGGAGTTGATCATTCTTTGAACTGGGTCGACTCCTCTGATTTGCCCTTTGAGGAGATGCTGATATTACATAATGATGTCTTCTAGTCCATTTCAAACCATTATTGTCCAGAGGTGGCAAAGAAAATTACAGTACGAGATGACTCTCGTTGGAATGACTCCTCTATAAGTTCACTTTGTATGGATCGTAGAAGTGCTGAATGAGAGAAGCACAGGCAGTGAACAGACCGTACTAGATCAGAGTACATAATATGACTGTGCGTACGGCTGTTGTTTGTTCAGTGTGGGCACACAACGCTGAATATTGTATACTACAGAAGTCAAATGGCCTCATGTGGCAGTGACCAGAAAAAAATATATACAGTTATGAATGGGCTGTTGGGCCAAAGGTCTGGAATTACTATGCTTTGTTCCACTTCAAATGGTCAGCTTGCCTCAGATTTTTCCTAAGGTTTTTATGACAAAGATATCATGTGACCTTGATTGTGTTTCTTTAGATGAGAAATTTTCAGTTATTTTCAACCAAGTTACACAATAGAACTCACTCTTTCATCATTTTGTCTTACAGAGGTGAACAACATTCTGCACTATATCAAGGATTTGAAGAAGACTTTGTTGTCGTGATCTTACAAATGTATTTAAGGTATCACTCTCTTATGAACATACTGCAGACTTTATTTGTAGAATCATATATATGTGATTTTCAGAGGGTAATTTTGTGTGATCTGAAAAACAGGCTTTATTACATCCACTTCTGGTCTTGATACTGAAAATATGTAAAATTATAGTCATCCAGTCTCGAGTCTCATTTTCATCAGAGATCATACTATGCTGGATTAGTTACTTTCTCTGTTAGAGAGAAGCAAGTGATCCATCTGGTCCAGTCAGCCTATAGGTTGCATCATTCAACTGAAACTGCCTATGTTGAATTCATAATGATTTGGTAATAAACACTTGCACAGAAAAGTCCTCCCTCCTGGCCCTACTGGATCTCTCTGCAGCATTTGCAGCATGGCTTCAGGATCTTTGGTCATTCAGTGTCCATGATGATGCATTCTCACTGTTTGAGTCTTATCTGTCAGAGTGATCTCAATGTGTGATAGTTGGTGGAACCGTTTCAGACCCGGTCCCTTTGCAGTTTGTCGTCTCACAGGGATCAGTTTTGGGACCACTTCTGTTTACAGTCCATACCAGTAGTTTTGTAATTTTGCTGGATGTGTAGGTTACTAGTGTGCCCTGAAGAATGCTGTGATGGCTAGGGAAACACTGAGTAACACTGAGTCCGTTTATTGTGGATGAGAGAAATACAAGTGGTGACCAGCGTGTGCCAAGCACGGCTCACACAGTCAGACTGAAGCTGCCTTGCCATATGGCAGCCTCGGGGCAATGTTGCCACATAACACGTGCAGTATTGCCACGTGATTATATATATAAATGCTACTCGGCACAGTAGCTTATGTACAGGGTTGCTACTTGGCACAGTAGCTTATGTACAGGGTTGCTACTCGGCACAGTAGCTTATATACATAACCTACATCTCCCTCCCCCCTCACGCTCATAGTCTTTGTCTTGAGCGGACTTCTTAGTCCTAAGTCGCTCCGAGCGTCGAGGTGCACTGTGGGGCGGATCCTCGTGAGGTGTAGGTGACTCGTCCTCGGTCAGGGGGCCAGCAGTAGGGGGTGGGACTGGCCGGAGGAAGCGGCGGTTCCTCCACCAGACACGGCCGCTCGGCATCCTGACCTTGTAGTCCCGCGACCGGCCGACGCCCATCACTATGCCCACCTTGTCCCAACGTGTCGTCGTCGGGTCCCAGACGCAGACAAGGGCACCAATCTCCAGTGGCTGAAGAGGGCGGGCACGGTCGTCATACCGAGCTTTGGCGTCCTGGGCACGTGAAGCGGCGCGGCGGTCACAGCTCTCGGCTTTGGTCTGCCAGTCCTTCGCAAAGGCCTTGGCGTGTGTAGGAACACAAGAGCGGAGAGGGTGACCATACAGGATCTGGGCAGGGGAGCGTCCTGTGTGGGTGGGAGTGGATGCGGGTTCTGGGCAGCTCTGTGTGGCAGTGCCAGGCGCGTCGCTCGTTAACTCACGCACCCTGCTGGCGGTGTACCGAGCAGCTGGGATCTGCTCAGGAAAGTCTCTGGGCACCACGCCTAACTCCTTGCAGTGCACCCACGACAACAAGGGTGTAGCGAGAGTAGGCCGCACGTCGATCCATCAGTAACACGACCTGTCGCCGTAGGTGATCTCTGCCTGAAAGGAGCCCACAGCGTCCGGCATCTGGGAACCGTCCGCATTGTAGTACTGCAGCTGCGGCGGTGGTCCCAGGCCGCGTTTGGTGAGGCCCAGTTTCTGGAGGTGCTTCAGGCCTATCACCGTAGTATCGGCGCCGGTGTCTGGTATCACCTCGATGTGACCCGACACATCACCGTGTGTGACGGCGACGCGGATAGTAGGGGAAGGGGTAGCCCTGGGGCGTGTGGTCGATTCCACCCTCCTGATGTGACTCCGCTGCTGCTTGGGGCTGCGTGGGCCATCTGGAGGGGGCTGCGTGCGAACCACCCCGAGGGAAGTGCGCTGCTGTCCTCCTCGTCTCGGGCTTTTGGGCTTGGGTTGGCGGCAGCACTTGTCGTAGTGTCCATAGCGACCGCAGGCCTGACACTTGTGGCCTCGTGCAGGGCACCTGTCTGTGTTAGACCAGTGGCCCTTACGGTCACATCCACGACACAGTGCGTCGGCGGCCGGGCAAGTCTTGGGGCTGTGCTGCTTTCCACAGCTGCCACAGGAAGCACTAGGCGGAGGCGTGGAAGAACGTGTGGCAGCCTTCGCGTTGTTGGCCGCCTTCTTATCCTTCTTGTATTGTGAGATAGCTCTCACAGCAGGTGGGGCCCGTAAGGCAGAGGTGGCGGACTTGGTGGCCTCGTATGACCGACATTCAGTCACTACCACCTGGAGTGTGGAGGAAGCGTCCAGGGGGATGAGTCGCTGCATCAACTCTTCGTGCCTGACACCTGTCAAGATCCCGTGCTTGATCCAGGCTTCCTCACATTCCCGGCTGTGCGCCTTGCAGACGTCGATCTCCTCCGACAAACTCTTCAAACGTACAAAAAAGTCGTCAAAGGATTCGTTCTCCGCCTGCTTGCAGCTGGTAAAGGCACGGCGACGCAAAGCCTCGTTGTTCCGACCCTTAACGTGCTCCTGTAAAAGGTCGAGCACATCCGTCACTGAAGATGTAGAATCGGGAGGCACTTGCAACGTGTGCTCCAAAACTCTCTGGGTCTCCAGCGACAAACACATCCGCAGTTGGATGAGCTGTTTGTTTGGAGGCATGCTGTCAAGGTCCACCATCGTGGAGTAATCTGTCCAACGCCGCCTCCACTCACGAAAAAGCTGAAACGTGACGTCTGGTGAGAGGGCGGGTGGGGGTTGAACAGATGCCTTGGGAGCTGTTGGGGTAGCAAGAGTACCTGGAGGACGCTGGTGTGGTGGAGGAGGGAGTGTACTGGCGCCTTGAAGCGCGCTACCTGCAAGTGAGGGAGGGTGGGTTAGCGCCAGGGTCGCCAATAGCGCCTCAAAACGCAACTTTTCCTCCTCTCTTCGTGTCTCCTCCCTCTGAAGTTCCATTTCTCTACGTCGCTCGTCCCGGTCGTCCATCCACTTCAGAATTGTGGCGATGTCCGTCACTGGAGGTGGAGGATGAGAGTCTGCGCCCGGTGGAGGGGAAGGTGGTGGGGAGTCGTGTCTCCCATCTTGACGTTGTCCCTTCTTACCTCCCATCTTTGTGTGTGCGTGGACTGCACTGTTTAATATATAAAGTGGCGCCTCAACAGCTCGAACCACATATATAAGACATAAACAGCGCAAAAATCACGCTTATGGTCCAGGTCCACTGTTCTGTCCGTGAGTGAGTGAGTGCGTGCGTGCGTGCGTGTGTGTGTCTGAGAGAGCGGAGGGAGCGTGGACAGCTGCGTGGTCCGGCAAGACCGTCAGTGTCCCCCGGATGTCGCACGAGAAGGGTGTGCGCCTGCGTGCTCCGTGGGTACCACAAAAAAACAGGCCAATGCTCAACTTAGCTCTAGACACACACTAATACACTGACACTAACACTGCCACTGTCACTAAAACGCACTGTGACGGCGCAACACTGCACATCGCGGCGAAACACAGCGCAACACAACACAACACACTGAGTCGACGCGCATCACCGGCAGACGTAACTGTCGGCATTGTTCACACACTTTGTAAGTCCACAGATCCTTGACACTGCGCCATGAAAGTTACTAGTGTGCCCTGAAGAATGCTGTGATGGCTAGGGAAACACTGAGTAACACTGAGTCCATTTATTGTGGATGAGAGAAATACAAGTGGTGACTCGCGTGTGCCATGCACGGCTCACACAGTCAGACTGAAGCTGCCTTGCCATATGGCAGCCTCGGGGCAATGTTGCCACATAACACGTGCAGTGTTGCCACGTGATTATATATATAAATGCTACTCGGCACAGTAGCTTATGTACAGGGTTGCTACTTGGCACAGTAGCTTATGTACAGGGTTGCTACTCGGCACAGTAGCTTATATACATAACCTACAGGATGTTCATGGTGTTGCCTTACTATTTCTATGCCAATGATACACAGCTTTATGTCCAAATGATAAATGTCAAGGATATTGAGAGATATTGAAATTCTTGATGTCTGATATTAAAAAATGGATGGCTAGACGAAAACCTAAGATGAATGATGGCAACACCGAGATTATCGTCATCCAAGGAAATAGGAGGGGTTACAGCACAGATGATTTTGGCTCTTTAAACTTTGGAGAAGTACAACTCAATCCTGTCAATTCTGCTCATAATCTTGGAATGTATACTTTGACTCAAAACTGAATTTTAGAGTCTATCTCGATTAACCCTTTAGAGGGCAGCCCCACACTTAGGTACTATATTCATTTTATTTTTACTTTTATCCTCTTTGCTACTGATTGGCTCATTAGCAGCTTGGGCAGTCGGTCACATCTCTGTTATGTACTGTTGGCGAATACTGGGCATGCACTGACTCCTGAGTATATCGGAACCTGCTCCAATGTTGGTCAAATCTGGTCTCAAATGAGCTCACACTCAGTGCCGTCACAACACTCTCGGGTAGATTGTTCCTCGAATTCACAATTCTCACTCCAAACATGTTTGCCCTCACAGTTTTATGGACTTGTGGCTTCTTCAACCTTGAGCTGTGACCCCTTGTGAGGCGGACGTCCGCCAGCTCCAGGTATGTACATTAGACCAAGCAGTGCCCCCTGAGGTGTTTATACACATCGATTAGGTCGCCTCTCGCCCGTCTGTAGTATAAGCTAGGTAGTTGCAGGCGTTCTAATCTCTCTAAGTATTTGAGGTTCTGTAGAGCAGGCCCCAGTCTGGTAGCCCTCCTTTGGACATTTTCAATCAATTGACAGTCTCTAGTATACCTTGGGGAAGCATCTACTAATGCCAGAAGAATTCATTCAGCTAAAAGGTTAAAGAGCATAGAAACTCAGTTGCAACTTTCATATTCAAAATCTATCGGCTGTGAAACAGTTTTTAGATAGACAGTGTCTTGTGGCACTTATATTCACTTATTTTGTCTTGGGTTGACTATTTTAACTCTTTATGGGTTTGCCTACCTAATTATCTAGTGAAAAAAGTTCAGGGTGGTGAAAAAGGATGCCAGGCTTACATGTGCTCTCCTACTGAGGACTTCCACCACCCTATTCTTAATCGAATTGCACTGGCTTCCAATTAAAGAAAGAAAAAAGTTCAAACTCTGCCTAATGACTTTTAAGGCACTTATGTTTGATGAGCCTAAGTAATTGTCCAACCTACTAAATCCTCTGACCTAGAGCATTGTGGAAATGCTCTTTTGTGGCCCAATCCTTTTCCTATATCGCACCCAGATTGTACAATCATTTGCCTGCATCCATGAAGCAGCTGACTTCTGTGGAGGCTTTTAAGAAACAACTTAAGACCTTTCTTTTATTTTGAAAGCACATGATCCTGAAAAGAGCTTTGGAAGTGATACAACTTAAGGATTAATGAACTGTCACTTCTTGTGATTTTTGTTATATTTTTATTTTTATTTTTTTATTCTCAGAACTTTGACTTGTGAAATTTTGAGCGCTAGTGAATTACTTGGAAGAATTGGAGCTTTTGTTTCTCAAAAGTGCCAGCTTTTATTATTATTAAAACAATATCTGATTGATCAATAAATCTCCCAGAGCTAACTGGGTACTAAGGGCATGGAATGGGGGGAGGGGAGGGAAGAGTGCAAAGAAGAGGAGAGAGAGATGATAGAAGGGAAAGGAGAGGAAATTAATTCACTTACCAAAGAACATAGTAAAATCCATACGATCTTCAGTTGGAACCTTGTGCTTCAGGAAGACCATGTAACAGGCATAAAGAATAGCTCCAGCTATTGACCATACCACACCAACAGGCACAACTGAACTTTCAAGGTTGAGGTCTTCCAAACTAACTAAAACCTGAAAAGTAATTGGCAAGACATATATCCAAAATATCTTAAAAATATATGTTGGGTATATTCAAAGTTTTAAACTGTTTTTTTCTTGGATAAACACTGTCATCAATCACAAAACAGTAATGAGGTCTCCTAGCTTTCAAACATGTATCATTATCACATGTACACTTTCCAGAACATGTAGTGTATCTCGAAAACTAGATACACTACAATACTGTACAGGGATCCCCGACTAACGAACGTCCAACTTACGAACGCCTGCAGATATGAATGGGGTTAAATGTGAAATTTACAGTATCTCTTTAATTTACCTGTAAGCCCCCCAGAAGATGTTTTAAATCTGACCAATATCATGTACATTTTGAGGCTATGTGCACTTGATATTAGGAGATATTCTAAAATCAATAGTAAATACTTTTTACAATACAAAAATGCCTGAGTACAATACTGCATTAAAGAAAAAGTATTGGAATTTTCTGTTGAAAAGGGAACCCCCGCCCTGGATCCACCCTTGTGGTTATTTGCACATACAGGTACAAAATATTTAAAGTCAACAACATCCTGCAGTCTCCCATCCACACCACTGCACCTCTTGTGTACCCACCTTCCACACTCACTGCACATTACTGACGCTACCAACACCATTCTTACAGACAACACATAGCCATTAGCAATTTTGGATAGTGCAAACTTTGAGGATGGAAATTTCTGAAAAATAGTTGAATTATGATATATTATGAACTATGGAAGTTTTGGTGGATAAATATCACAAAGATGAAGCATAAAATTTTATATGCTAAAATCTGGGCCTTTGGCTGGTTATGTGCTACAGTCTTAAAAAAATAAAATAATATAATATACCTGTAATAATATAAAAATGGACAGTACTGTACATTACATCTAATACAATATTTGACTACTTACCACACCTGCAACCATAAGAAGAACTGAGGCCAATTTGGAGAGAGTAAACTTGTCTGTTAAGGATGATGGAAATATGGCAGCAAGAATCAAGGTAAACAATCCAGATGTTGATGAAATAATATTGACAACACCAGCTTCTGTGTTGCTAAGTGCTATTTGGTAGCTGTAATTGCCTGCAAACCACTGAAAAAAAGATAAATCTAGATTAGGAAGAAACCTCAAAGACTCAAACTATCTAAAACTATGAAATCCTATTGGTATGGCCAAAGGTTGCGTGAAATTCTAGCATACTGAACACCCCATGATAGCTGCCAGACATAATAAGAGTAAATTTATTCAGTGGCAGGAAGCATAATTCATATCAACAATGCAATTTCTGTAAGACAGTCCTTCACCCAATCACACCAGGAGTGATCTGAACAATATATGGTCCAGCTAAACCATGAAATTTTAAGGTAGCCAGCCAGCAGTAAGGAGATAAAAAGTTGAACTCACAAGAATCCCAACAATCTCATCAATCAGCAATAATGATAAGTACAGTTCTCCTAGCCCTTGAGTCTTAGCTTATTCATAGCCAAACACTTGGGAAACAGAGGGAAATCTACGAGATAACTGATTGGCTGGTAGACGAACATACGAAGAATCACTACAGTTCTTCAGTATTTAATTAATCATATATATATTCTGATACTTTAAAGAAATTAACTTTACTGTGTTGATCTCTGGTAATTTCTGCACTTGGGGAAATAAACATTAGCATGATAGGGCAAACATATTAACTCAAGAAGATGTGGAAACGTCCTATCTGAGGAGACTAGGACTCTCTGGCATCCAATAAATCGGAATTTGCAATAAGTTGGTATGGCACATGATAACCATTACATTTTGGAGTAGTCGGCAAATTGGCGCTAAGTTAGCAAGTCCCAAGTTATGTGCAAGAACTCAAAAGCTGGCCCATGCTTAGTAGCCCATGTCGGCCCCATGATAATCAGTTTACATGCGCCTCGTGTCACTGGTAGACCTTCTGACAGTGATTAAGCGCCCATGAAGCATTACCGTACAGATAGTGTTAAGTGTCATGTATAAA